CACCTGCAAAAGGTGGCCTTTTAGCCCCCAAACAACCCGACAATCCCATTGCATGGGTGGTATCACTGTACTCAGGAGATGTTGCTGAACACATATTGGGGTGTAACATAACACTATCTGTTAATTCATGCCTAAAATACAATGTGTGTGAAAAAAACAGAAAAAAAATTACTACCTAAAAGTTTGACAAAGTCTGGTGGTAGAATTAGTGCATGGAAAGTGTTAAAATACCACCATTTGAAATACCCTAGGGTGTCTACTTTAAAAAAAAATAAAAAAATGGTTTGATGGGGGTAAAATACATTGGCTGGCCTTAAAAATGTCCCAAATTCAGGGCTCGAGTCCTGCAGGAACGCATGGGAACGGCGTTCCTGCACTTTTTCCAAAGCAGGAACGCCGTTCCTGTTACCTGTCCTGCAGGACCGGCCCTGCTACCTGCACTGAGGGTCCAGCACACGCTGTGTTCCCTCTCCAGCTATAACTCTCGCGAGACCCGCGGCTGTTACCATGGCAACGCTCCGCACAGGCGAGTCTCGCGAGAGTTAGAGCTGGAGAGGGAACACAGCGTGTGATGGCCCCTCTGTGCAGCGGCTGGCTCCCTCCAGCATACCACCGGACCACCAGGCGACCTCCCCCCTCCCTGACAAGGTAAGAAGCAGGGAGGGGGGAATAAAATAAACAAATATATAGACACATAAAGTAAGAAAATGCTTCCCCCCCCCACATCATCCAGCACTCACTCACACACCCATCATCCAGCACCCACACACCCATCATCCAGCACTCACTCACACACCCATCTTCCAGCACTCACTCACACACCCATCATCCAGCACTCACTCACACACCCATCATCATCCAGCACTCACACACCCATCATCCAGCACCCACACACACATCATCCAGCACTCACACACACATCATCCAGCACTCACTCACACACCCATCATCCAGCACCCACACACCCATCATCCAGCACCCACACACACATCATCCAGCACTCACACACACATCATCCAGCACTCACTCACACACCCATCATCCAGCACCCACACACACATCATCCAGCACTCACACACACATCATCCAGCACTCACTCACACACCCATCATCCAGCACTCACACACACATCATCTAGCACTCACTCACACACCCATCATCCAGCACCCACACACACATCATCCAGCACTCACACACACATCATCCAGCACTCACACACACACATCATCTAGCACTCACTCACACACACATCATCCAGCACTCACACACACATCATCCAGCACTCACACACACACATCATCCAGCACTCGCACACACGTCATCCAGCACACACACACACACACGTCACCCAGCGCGCGCACACACATCATCCAGCACACGCACACACTGCATTCATTATGAACACTCTTCACTCACTACAAACACACTACATTCACTATACACCCTCTGCATTCACTATACACACTCTGCATTTATTATGCACATTCTGCACTCACTACACACTACATTCACTATGCACACTCTGCATTCACTACAAACACACTACATACACTGCATTCATTGTACACACTCTGCACTCACTACAAACACACTAAATTCATTATACACAATTTGCACTTACTACAAACACACTACATTTATTATACATACTGCACTCACTACAAAAACACTACATTCACTATACACACTGCATTCACTACAAACACACTGCATTCATTATACACACTCTGCATTCACTACAAACACACTACATTCATTATACACACCCTGCACTGCACTATATGCATAGGAGTGTAATTTTTTTTAAAGGGGGGGGGGGGGATCTTGGGTGAGTTCCCACACTTTTTTCCCTAGGACTTGACCCCTGCCCAAATTGGACGTATGCGCAGGATGACTACATGTCAAAATTCCAAGTTGGCAACTGGATATGCGCACCTGCCAAATGTGGCCTTTTAGCCCCCAAACAACCCGACAAGCCCATTGCATGGGTGGTATCACTCTACTCAGGAGATGTTGCTGAACACATATTGGGGTGTTGTTTGGCAGTGACACATAACACTATCTGATAATTCATGCCTAAAGTACAATGTGTGTGAAAAAAACAGAACAAAAATTACTACCTAAAAGTTTGACAAAGTCTGGTGGTAGAATTAGTGCATGGAAAGTGTTAAAATACCACTATTTGAAATACCGTAGGGTGTCTACTTTTCAAAAATATATGGTTTGATGGGGGTAAAATACATTGGCCGGCCTTACAAATGTTCCAAATTGGACGTATGCGCAGGATGCATACATGTCAAAATTCCAAGTTGGAAACTGGATATGCACACCTGCAAAATGTGACCTTTTAGCCCCCAAACAACCCAACAAGCCTATGCATGGGTGGTATCACTGTACTCAGGAGATGTTGCTGAACACTTATTAGTGTGTTTTTTGGCAGCAACACATAACAGGGTCTGTGAATTTATACCTGAATTGCAATGTATGTGAAAAAAAAAACTACCTATGCGAAGTTTGGCAAAGATTGGTGGTAAAATGGCTGCATAGAAAGTGTCAAAATATCTGTAGATTAATCTGAAAATTACCCCTATGATGGCATACCATTTGCAATAGTAGGCAACCCAAGGTATTGCAAACGGGGTATGTCCAGTCTTTTTTAGTAGCCACTTAGTCACAAACACTGGCCAAAATTGGCGTTTTTTGCATTTTTCACACACAAACAAATACTAACGCTAACTTTGGCCAGTGTTTGTGACCAAATGGCTACTAAAAAGACTGGACATACCCCATTTGCAATACCTTGGGTTGTCTACTATTGCAAATGGTATGCCATTATGGGTGTAAATTTCATTCCTGGCTACTATAAAGTCCCAAAGGCAACGTAACCTATCTGGCGAATTTCAATTTTCAAATGTAACGTGCTATATTTGACCCTGTAACTTCCCAAAACGCCATAAAACCTGTACATAGGGGGTACTGTTTTACACGTGTGACTTTGCTGAATAGAAATGTGTATTTTATTGCAGTAAAAGCAAACAGTATTATGACATTGACAGTTAAAATGTCATGTAGAACTAAAAAAATTAAAACAAATCTTATTTTCTCCCATTTTTTTCATATTAAATTATGTTTCACATCTAAATATTTGATATTAAATGAAAGCCCTGTTTCCCCTGAATAAAATGATATATAATAAGGGTGGGTGCATTTACTATGAAACAGGTGAATTACGGTTGGACAGACGTGTAGCGCAAATGCCAGGTTTTGTTTACATTTTGTTTCGTTCACAACGTGTACATTTGGCTCCGTCCTTAAGAGGTTAAGGGGTTAATATATAAAATGGTGCAACATGTGCCTATTAGTATACTGTAAACATATATTTATAAATTCCTATTATTTATATTTTGCAGTACAATAACAGGCGCAATTGTGTGCCATTTTAATTCATCCAAATACTCTTTCCCAAAACAATCTCATGAGTGAGATTCGTTTAAACCAAAATACCATATTATTACTAAAATTTGATCCATCCACACCAAATTTAAATTGTGAAGAAAGACAAGAAATAATGCAACTGGTTTATTCTTAAAAAAAAAATGCATATTTGAGAGGATATGTTGATATCATACATGTATGTACAGGAACAGTCCAAACAGCTTTATTGTGTTCTTCTTTTTTTCATTCTTTTAGATGAACATCAGCAAATGAGGTGCAAGACAGTGGCTCTTGATAAAGTTAAATCTATTTTTAAATCTAAATTAATATATGCCATTGAATTGAAACTGTTAAGCAGAATTCAGCTGACGATTTTGCAGTATCCCTGATAATCTTAGGAATGATTTTATAACGAAATATACACAAATTTACATATAATTTCTGAAAAATGGTATGCATACTTTAAAAAACCGAACAAAAGAATGTTAGATATTTTATGTAGCTGCTTTTTCTTCAGGAAACCAAACTTTGGCTTAACTGCATTTAAATCATTGACAGCCATTGTGAAGCTCAAAACTTTATGTAACACTCTACCATCCCTAGCATTCAATAAAATATTCTTAATATTCATTAAAATACTTACGAATATATTGATCATATTTTCATAATATTTTAAGGTAGATATCAAACATAATGAAAGTAAATAGATCAATGCTTACAGAATTTCTCATTATTGGATTGTCAGATAATTCTAAGTATCAGGGCCCAGTCTTCTGCAGTCTCCTTCTTCTCTACATCCTTACTTTAGCAGGGAATGTGTCAATCATTGTTGTGTCACAACTGGATAAATATCTACACACACCAATGTACTTCTTCTTGCAAAATTTATCTTTCCTAGACATCTGCTACACATCCACCACCATGCCAAAAATGTTACAAATACTTATTGTGAAGAGAAAAACTATCACATTCATAGGGTGTGCAATTCAGATGTATTTCTTCATAACATTTGTTGGTACTGAGTGTGTCCTTCTTTGTATAATGTCGTATGATCGTTTTCTAGCCATATGCAATCCCCTTAGATATTCTGTAATAATGAATCATAAAAAGTGTGCATGCCTAGCTCTTTTTTCGTGGCTCAGTGGCCTTGTGAACTCTATGATCCACACATTTTTTACTTTTCGATTACATTTCTGTCGCAACAAGATCAATTATTTCTACTGTGACATACCTCCACTAATCTCCATGTCATGTGAAGATACATCTATTAATGAAGTCTTACTACTAACGATAGGTGTATTCATAGGGTGGACACCCTTCATATGCATCATTATATCATACATATACATTATAGTAACAATAAAAAAAATCAGGCGCACTGATGGAAGGCAGAAAGCATTTTCTACCTGTGCCTCCCATATAATGGTGGTGGTCCTTTACTATGGTAGTGTACTGTTTAGTTATGTGAGACCAATTTCATTATACTCATTGGGTAAAGACAGGGTGATCTCAGTTTTGTATTCTGTTATATCGCCAATGTTGAACCCATTAATTTACACTTTGAAAAACAAAGATGTAAAAAAGGCAATGAGAAGGCAATGTGTGCACAGGTTAAATAAATAAAACAAACGTGTAAATATATTGTGGATTTTTGTTGAATTTTATTCTCATTCACTCAAACCTCTAAAATTAGTGTCCCTCTTTCAAATGTTTGGAGGTGTGATAAAGGACTTGAGGGGCTGATATATCAACCATTAAATTTGCACTTTCAAGGACCACTCCACACCAATAAAATGCTTTTGTTTTCTGAAGTGCTTTGTAGGTGAGGAGTTTCCCTTTATAATAACAGTCTATAAAAGTGCTGATTTCTATGAGAAGTCAGCACTTTTATAAATAATGAATTAATCAAGCAGCCAGGGAGGTTTCTTCCTGCATCTAGATGTAGTTGCAGACGAGCTCTACTCAAGTGCGCCTGCCTTCCTCCTACATACCTTCTTCTCAGACCTCAGGTCCGAAGGCTCTGCATGCACGGAGGGAGATCTTCAGATGCTTCGCAATGAGAGCCTCTGATTGATTACTTTCCTGTGACTGAAAGTCTGTTCTGGGGAAAAAGGAGCGGGCTTGAAAGATTGCAGCTTATAAGAACTACTGCTTTTGTAAGCGTTTTTAAGATATACCCCTAATCAATACATGTGTGAAAAATGACTGCATGTATTTATTTGGAATATGTCTATTAAACAGTGATTTGTACTTGTGTTCCTTTAATAAAAAAATCACTTTTCTTGAAGGTTTGTGCTGGACAATTTGTTTTCTATGGGTGTAAGTACACATACACAACTCACTTCCTGTTTATCCCATTGTACTGTAGGCTATATCTTAAAGGAACACTACAAGCACCATAACCACTACAGCAGGTAAGTGACAGAAGAGGTTATTAACCCCTTCTGCACCACAGAGTGGGATGGGGCGGGGGTTGCTTCCACAGAGGGGGAAGCTAGAGTGCCAGGAAAACTAGTTTTTTTCCTAGCACTATAGTTTCCCTTTAAGGATGGAGGCAATTGTACAAGTTCTGACCTGAATTAAAACAAAACCTAGAATTTGAGCAATCTGTATGTTCAAACATATTTTTTATCTCATTCGTATTAAAACGGCACTGTCATGGCCGAATCCCGTTTTTTTTTAACCCACCTCCACTATCTCTAATTGACCCCCTAGTCATCCCCAAATGCCCCTAAGCCCCCCATATTACCTATTTTTTAATCTTTATTTTCTGCCCCGATCTACATTCAGGGCGCCGCCATCTTTGTGTGCATAGAGGAAGTCCCTGTGGACACATCATCTGCCCCTACTAGATAGTGCTGTGAGATTCCCGCACATGCCCAGTGAAACACATGGACATGCGAACGGGAATTTTATCTATTCATTCATTCATCAGAAAGCCAAATTAATTAATAGAAATGTCAGATGAACAAACTAACACCAAGTATCAATGTTCGTTTGTTCGTTCAGTTTATTACAAGGAGGGAGCTACCGGCACACAGCTCCCTCCTTGTAATATGTAAAGATAGAAGCGGCAGGGAGCAGTGCTCCCCACCACTTCATAAGCCCCCCAATTCCCCCCTCACTCTATGGGGGTCAATATGAAAAGAAAACTACTATCCTAAAAAACAATAAGGGGGGACCTACTGTCCCCCTCCCCGCCCCCACTCCTGAGCAGTGGGTGGGGGCCCTAAAAACAATAAGGGGGGGACATACTGTTCTCCCCTCTGGCCCCCACCCCTGAGCGGTGGGTGGGCACCCTAAAAAAAACAATAAGGGGGGACCTACTTTCCCCACCCCGGCCCCCACCCCTGAGCGGTGGGTGGGGGTCCTAAAAAACAATAAGGGGGGGGACCTACTGTCCTGCCCCTGGCCCCCACCCCTGAGCAGTGGGTGGGGGCCCTAAAAAACAATAAGGGGGTGCTTACTGTCCTCCCCCCCTGCCCCCACCCCTGAGCAGTGGGTGGTGGCCCTAAAAACAATAAGGGGGGACCTACTGTCCTCCCCCCTGGCCCCCACCCCTGAGCGGTGGGTGGGGGCCCTAAAAATAATAAGGGGGGGACCTACTGTCCCCCCCCTGGCCCCCACCCCTGAGCAGTGGTTGGGGGCCCTAAAAAACAATATAAAAGTGCTGATTTCTATGAGAAGTCAGCACTTTTATAAATAATGAATTAATCAAGCAGCCAGGGAGGTTTCTTCCTGCATCTAGATGTAGTTGCAGACGAGCTCTACTCAAGTGCGCCTGCCTTCCTCCTACATACCTTCTTCTCAGACCTCAGGTCCGAAGGCTGTGCATGCACGGAGGGAGATCTTCAGATGCTTTGCAATGAGAGCCTCTGATTGATTACTTTCCTGTGACTGAAAGTCTGTTCTGGGGAAAAAGGAGCGGGCTTGAAAGATTGCAGCTTATAAGAACTACTGCTTTTGTAAGCGTTTTTAAGATATACCCCTAATCAATACATAGAGTGAGGGGGGAACTGGGGGGCTTATGAAGTGGTGGGGAGCACTGCTCCCTGCCGCTTCTATCTTTACATATTACAAGGAGGGAGCTGTGTGCCGGTAGCTCCCTCCTTGTAATAAACTGAACGAACAAACGAACATTGATACTTGGTGTTAGTTTGTTCATCTGACATTTCTATTAATTAATTTGGCTTTCTGATGAATGAATGAATAGATAAAATTCCCGTTCGCATGTCCATGTGTTTCACTGGGCATGTGCGGGAATCTCACAGCACTATCTAGTAGGGGCAGATGATGTGTCCACAGGGACTTCCTCTATGCACACAAAGATGGCGGCGCCCTGAATGTAGATCGGGGCAGAAAATAAAGATTAAAAAATAGGTAATATGGGGGGCTTAGGGGCATTTGGGGATGACTAGGGGGTCAATTAGAGATAGTGGAGGTGGGTTAAAAAAAACCTACTGTCCTCCCACCTACTGCCCCCCTCAGCCCCCACCCCTGAGCGGTGGGTGGGGGCCCTAAATAGGGGACTAGAGGTGCCAAGCCCCTAGTCACCCCCCCCACCCAAATAAAACTATCCCCTACCTACCCTCCTCACCCTAAAAATAGTGCTTAAAGCAAACTTATCTGGCGCAACTTTTTACTTTTTTCTTTTCCCATTATGTTTTAAGGGTTTTGAGGGATTCCCTTTTAAAGTTGCTGCCTTATCCCGTTATTAAGCGCTAACCCTTTCTTTTTTTTACATACATACAGACACACATACATACAGACACACACATACATACAGACACACAGACACATACATGCAGACACACACACGCATACAGACACACACATACATACAGACACACTCACAAGACACTCATATATACATACAAACAGACAGGCACACATACATACAGACAGACACACACACACACACACACAACATACATACAAGAACACATACATACAAGCAGACAAGCACACATACAGACAGACAGACAGACACACACATACATACATACAAACAAACACACACACACATACTATTTAAGTCACCCTCCTGTTTCATAGCTTTTAGGTGCAGGAGGGTGACTTTCCCTGGGGTCCAGTGGTGGCTCAGGTTAATGGGAGTCAGAGTTCCCAGTGTTGTCCCAGCTACTGTACTTCCTCCATCCCTAGACGGCCCTTACTGGGTTTCAGGGTTACTGCCTCCCTAATCAGGTCTAGTACAGCTCCTACATGTACCAGATGCTCTTCACAAGTGTCGCTGTATATGGCTATGTTGTCCAGGTATGCACAGGCATAGTCCTGGAGGCCCTCCAACAGCCAGTCCACCATCCTCTGTAAGGTGGCCGGGGCATTCTTCATCCCAATTGTCATTACCTTAAATTGGTACAGACCAAATGGGGTGAGAAATGCTGATTTGGGAACAGCATCTGTCGCTAGGGGAATCTTCCAGTACCCCTTGCACAGA